TCCTCTGCTCGCAGGGACTTAACTAACATGTCGTCAATATAAACTTCCATTGATTTTCCTATATGTTCTTCGAACATCAAATTTACTAGGAGTTGATAAGTGGCACCGACGTTCTTTAGTCCAAACAGCATTACGTTATAACAATAAGTGCCTAATTTAGTGATAAGGGAAGTTTTTTCTTGATCGCTCAGGTCCATCCGAATTTGGTTGTACTCGAAATAGGCATCGAGGAAATTGAGTATCTCGTGACCGGGCGTCGCGTCGATCATCCGATCGATGTTAGGCAAAGGAAAGGAGTCCTTAGGTCATGCCTTGTTCAAGTCTTTGTAATCTACACACATCCTAGCTTATTTCCTTTTTTAGGTACTACTACTATGTTAGCTAACCAGTTCGGGTATTTGACTTCCCGAATGGACCCTATTTTAAGGAGTTTAGATACCTCGTCTTTGATGAATGCATGCTTGTTCTCGGATTGAGGTCTTCTCTTCTATTTAACCAGGTTGAACTTCGGGTCCAAACTCAGCTTATGAGTGGTCACCTCCGGTGGGATCCCTGTCATGTCAAGATGGGACCAAGAGAAACAATCTACATTAGCTTTAAGAAAGTTAATGAGTTTATTCTTGAGCTCAGGGCCTAACCCCGTGCCCAGGTATACCTTTCGATTCGGCAGATGCTCGGTCAATGTGATTTGCTCCAATTCTTCAACCGTTGATTTGGTGGAGTCGGTATCATCAGGAGCTATGAACGATCTCGGAACTCCGTAATCATCTTCCTCATCGACTCCTTGTCCCTTCGATCCGGTCGGGACCGGCATCGGCGATTGCTATTTAACTTCGGCCTGGCCGGCTCCGAGCTTTTTATGTCGAAATGGCGGATACCGGGAGTACTTCATCGACTGCGAACATCTCCTTTGCAGTCGGCTGCTCGCTGTACATTTTCTTGATTCCTCCCGATGTAGGGAACTTCAATTCCTGGTGCAAGGTAGAAGGTACCACCCTTATGTTGTGAACCCACGGTCTTCCAAATAGAGCGTTATATCTAATATCCCCTTCGATCACATAGAACTTTGTTTCCTCGATGGTCCCGACGGTATTCACCGGTAGGTTTATCTCCCCGTTAGTGGTTTCGTATGCCATGTTAAATCTGTTCAACACCCGGACTGCTGGCACTATTTGGTCTTGTAAACCCAATTGCTCTACGACCCTCGATCTAATTATATTGGCCGAGCTACCTGGATCAATCAACACACGCTTAACTCGAGACTTATTTATAAGTACAGATATTCCTTATCGTTGAACGAAATGATTCCTTCCGGGATATAATCTCGGGTTCATTTTTCCCTTGTAATGAACACCTTAGTGCGCTTTATCATTGGTCCTTGGGGGACTTCAACCCCTCCAACGATTATGTTGATGACGTGATGAGGTTCTTCTTGTTCGGTCTGTTTGTTCGAGTCCCCAATCCTGAACTGATTTTTGGCTCGATCACTCAAAAATTCCAGGAGATGCCTGTTATTGAATAACCGGGCCACTTCTTCTCTTAATTGTCGGGAGTCCTCGGTTCTGTGGCCATGAGTGCCATGATACTTACACATCAAGTTAGGGTCTCTCTAGGTAGGGTCGAACTGCGATGGTCGAGGACACTTGGTATCCTTGATGCGCCCGATGGCAGATATGATGCTGGCAGCACTGACATTGAAGTTATATTCCGATAACCTTGATGCCTCCCTGACCCCGAGCAGCTTATCGAAACCATTTTTACTCATCAGTCCCCGGCTATTGTGGACTCTATTGCTCATCTTTTCGTTCCTCATAGGGTGATGCGCAGATCCGTTACCCCTTCGATCTCTGCTATACGGTTGGTACCGATCTCTACTCAGCCTCGGCTCATGATCGACGACTTTCCTAGGCCTTTCATTGGCTCTAATGGGATAAATTGACCCAAAAGGAGCTCCGAGCTGATCGTCCTCGACTCTGATTTTTGACTGGTACCTATTGTGGGTGTCTGCCCAAGTTACCATAGTGTATTTTACCAAATTTTGTTTTAACTGTTCTGAAGCCAAGGAACTTTGACAGTTAAGTCCTTGAGTGAATGCCTGAATGGCCCAATCATCCGTAACCGGAGGCAAGTCCATCCGTTCCATTTGAAACCTTGATACAAACTCCATGAGCATTTCGTTGTCGCTTTGCTTTACCTTTAAAAGATCTGATTTTTTGGTCTTGACCTTGATGGACCCGGCATGCGCTTTCACAAAAGCATCTACAAGCATAGCAAACGAATCAATAGAATTTGGGGGTAAGTTGTGATACCATATCATTGCTCCCTTTGATAGAGTTTCTCCGAACTTCTTTAGCAAAACTGACTCAATTTTATCATCTTCCAAGTTGTTTACCTTGATGGCACACGTTTAGTAGGTCTCGTGCCCATTTGGATCTGTGGTTCCGTTATATTTTGGAATATAGGGCATCCGAAACTTCTTTGGGATTGGCTTCGGTGCCACACTCAGAGGAAAAGGCTTTTGGACAAATTTTTTGGAGTCCAGGCCTTTAAATATTGGGGGCGTTCCTGGGATTTGATCGACACTGGAGTTATAGGTCTCCATTTTTTTGTCGTTGGCCTCAATTTTCTTCTCCTCTGATTACACCCGCTTTGTCAATTCCTCAAGCATTTTTATTATTCGGGGTTGGTCTCGGGCTTAGCTTCATCCGCCCTCCTGGTGTGTTGCTCACTTCTTCGGGTACTCCCCCGAGACTGTTCAGGCTCGACCCTACCAGGAGTGTGGCCTTGATTTTGTAGCTGCGTTATCACCGCCTATTGAGCTTGCAATATTTCAAAGGTTAGTCGCAGGCTTATCCCATCACCTCCGCCTTTAGGTGTTTCTCGAACCGTCGCTCGTGGGCCTCTGCGAATGCTGTTCTCGGGGTCAGTTGGCATGTGGGCATCGACAACAACTTGTGAATTAGCGTCGATTGGATCGGCAGTTGGGACTCCGTTGGGATCAACAGGGAGTACCTCATTGCTAGGCATCAGGTTGTTGTTTTCGCCATGATGGCCAGACTCAGCCTCAATGTTCAAGTGAGCAGACTGAGAGTTTGACATTTTTAAGCAAACCTGAAACATGAAACTTAAAGAACAAGCGTAAAATAGAGTGTGTTATAGAAACTTGTATCAAATTACCACTATTATCCTTAGCCTCACAGTGGGCGCCAAACTGTTTACCCTTAAAAATGGATAACAATTGAATTTATATGCGGTTTTAAGGATATGTGGATTATTTTGATACAAGTGATCAATAACGTCAGATAAGTGAATTAAAGATAAAATAAATAACCAAACCAGTTGCGATGTTAAGTCCGTGCTCCTGAGCTTAACAATTGATCTGCCCTCGATTCGGAACTAAAATATATATATATATATATATATATATATATATATATATATATATATATATATATATATATGAAGAGCTATGAGCAAAAATAAGAATTTTTCCTTAACTTAGAAGCAGAGAGAAAATAAGTTTATATTGCCTTGATACGCGTGTTACCGTGTGTTCATTGGATAAAAATCACCTACTTTATATATTAGGAGAGTTTCATCCCTAGTACAACTCTAAGAAAGGTAAAAATCTTATTTTTCGTTAATCATTGATCTGTTGCCGATACTGGCCGAGATCCACGACGTGATATCCGGTTAGGCGCGTATATCACGACCCTTCATTAGTCGTGCGCAACCGTTTGGTAGTGCTCTCCGAGGTCTTGGAGCTCGAACCGAATTCGGGGGGCATTGTTTCGATGGATCTAGTGGTAAGCGCTTCGTTTGGTCTTTAGAACGAGAGATTCCTAGCTTCGATTCCGATTGTAGTTATGTCCTTGCTTTGTTTGTCCAAGCAAGAAATCAGGGTACTCATTAGCCCCGATTTTACCCGTATACGGTTAGAGTGGACAAATAAACTTGGAGTACAATATATGAATATGAGTTCCCTAGTTTAGTTTGTATAACGTAAAAGGTCAATCACTTTTCTTATTTGCATGAACAAAATGAAAAAGGAACACGGGTCAAGTTGTTTTTCTCTATAAGAAGAAAAACACACAATAAAAAAAGGAGAGAAGGAATTTTTTTTCTCTTTCTAGAACATTGTCAAATATAATGTGAATAGACTTGAAAATTTTGACATAAAGGGTATGAGTAATAGCCAATAGCATCTTATATATGAATAGTTTATTGTGAATAAGTTTTCTGGAAGATGTTCAAATGTACAGGAAATAGAAGCGCCCTCTTTTGACTAAAAATCATGTTCATGACTTATTACTGGAGTTAATTAATTTATACATTATTGAACTAGTGAGGATGATAAGATGACAGCTTTTCACACGTGGGATTATTTTGTAGTAGAAAGTACTTGGAAAAATAATTATAATACTTGTTTCAATTTTTTTTTTTTTAGGGGGGGGGGGGGGGGTAGTAGGGACGTAAGGGGTTGGTTGGTGGGGGGGGGGGGGGTGTTGGGTTAATGAGCAATTCAATGGAGACCTAACCCTTCTTTTTTGGAATACTTTTCATGTTGAAGTATTGAACATCTTAATTATTTCTTGTCTTTATTGTGGAAGCTGTGAAGAACTCCAAAATCAATTCTTTTCAAGTAAGTTTCCAATTCTTCTTACACTGTACAGATCTGTAAGTACTTTCATTAATTGCTTGTTGGAGCTTAATTTCTTCTGTTAATGTTTAATCTCCTGAAATATCTAAATCTGCTTTTTCACTAAAATTAGAACGCCATTTTAGAAAGAAACCTAGATACTCATCAATAAGGTCAATAAATGCAACCTTAGACATTAATTAATTAATACTAACAAGCTTTCTATTTTCTGCTCTATAATTTCTTCTGTTAATATTTAGGGCATGGAATATAGTACTGGTAATTTTAACGATGAAGATGACTTCTTCCTCGACGTAATGCAGAATTTTTCTCAAGATATATACTCCAATATTGAAGAGAAAAATCAGTTAAAAGATCTTTCTTCGTCTCTCCTAAAGTCTTCTTCTGGTTTCTCATTTCGTTTTCATCTCAAGAAGAAGAAAATATTGCAATTGTAAAATCTCATTTGAAAGAAATTAATGCATGTCAAGCATCTGGGGGAAATAATAATAATAATAATAATAATATTATGTATAAGAGGAGTCCTATACAAGCTCAAGAACATGTTACTGCTGAGAGGAAACGCAGAGAAAAACTGGGCGAGCTTTTCATTTCTTTGTCAAAGGTTGTTCCTGGTCTAAAGAAGGTATAATATCCCAACTCAAACTTCTATCTTTTTCTTTTTCTTTTTCTTTTTTTTAATCTTTTTTCCTATATATATATATATATATACTTTCATCTTTTCTCTAGGGGTTTAAATAGAGCAACATGTGCAAATTACTATAGTCGATCACAACTTATTTGGTACTGTCCTTACAATTACTTGTTTCCAGAAAGAAAGAAAACTGCAAAAAGAGCGGAAGAAAACTAATCAGTTTTTTTACTTAATTGTGCTTTAATTTCCCTAGATTATTTACAAGATTTGCATTCGTTCCAGCTAAAGTTTAAGTTTACAAGAATGCGAAAACAATGGTTAGCCTTTAGTAAAATACAAAGAAGCTTGTTTTTGTTTAGTCAATAAAAGTATAGGTTCTTGAAATTATTATTTCAGGTGGTGTCAGCATTAATATTGAAGTGAGGAAGATTATGTTTTTTGTTCTTCGGATGCTGTGATGCTATTCATATGCGATTTTCTAATTATATAAATTGTTATTTTACAAGCTAGGCTTCATGAGTACAAATCTTGTTGGATTTCTGGCTTAAAGTGGCGTGAATAAAAAATGGAGGAAAAATAAAATGTTGAATTTTTCTCCTTTCCAAATGAACATTGTCTCATATATATTAGAGGAAGAAAAAATATTTATTGGGTTAATATATATACAATTGATCTTCTTTTAATTCTTAAAGAGTTGAGAAAAGGACAACCCTCGCACCATCGGCGTCGTTTGGCATCGCATATATATGATCTAATTTTTTCTTCATTTTATTTTTTGTTTTATTTTGCGTAAATAGACAGTTTTATAATAGCCATTTTTGCGAAAGGTCACCCGAAAGGCCGCAACTTTTGAGTTGCGCCTCTCCATTCAACCCAAATTTTTGGCTATAAATATCTAGCCATGTGCTCAGATTATTCTTATGAAAGTTCAAAAATCTCTTCTTTTTTTCTGCAGTGTTTTCTTACAAAGAAATAAAGTAAGTATGATTTACTGCTAACATTTGTGTTTGCCGGTCACTAGTGTTTCAAGTACCGCTATACTTGTATGGTTAATCCGTTCTCTATTTATAGCTTGGGAGGAAATAATCCTAAATCTCTGGTACTACGAGGGGATTAAGTTCCTTATTAATTAAAGAGCCGTTGTGAAATCAGTGAGCTCGGATTTTCTATAACAACCCAGCCACTAGTGATATTGTCAGCTTTGGGCCTAGGCCCGCACGGCTTTAAAACGCGTCACTAGAGTATAAGGCCTGTTTACTTATATACTCAGCATCTCTCCCGTGTTTTGTCGATGTAGGATTCGCCTAGGGTGTCACATACACCCCTCTTAGGGACTCAGCACCCCACCACCGTTCAAGGTTGCACGCGGAGTGGCTCTGATACCATATGTAACAGCCCAGCCCACTAGTGATATTGTCCGCTTTGGACCTAGGCACGTATGGCTTTAAAACGCCAAAATTTTACGGTATAGCCAGTTTTCGGACTGGTCAATCAAAAATAGCCAGAGTTTACCGAGTCAATGAAAAATAGCCACCGTTTTGCTGCAATAGAGACCGGTCCAGCATAATATACTGGAGTTCGGTGCACTTGTGTGTGAACTCCAGCATATTATGCTGGACCGGTATACTTTGCTATGCTGGACCGGTATACTTTGCTGGCTCCAGTATAATATACTGGAGACTGGAGCACTGGTGCTCCAAACTCCAGTATATTATATTGGACCATTATACTTGCTGGAACTCCAGTATATTATGCTGGAGTTCTAGTGTTTTCGCTCAAATTTATCTTTACATAAAAAGTGGCTAAATTTTGATTACTTTTGAAATTGGGCTATTTTTGAACGACCAGTTGTAAATCTGGCTATTTTTAAAAATCACCCCTTTAAAACGCATCACTAGAATGTAAGGCATGTTTATTTATGTACCCAGCATCTCTCCTCTGTTTTGTCGATGTGGGATTCGCCCATGGGCGATGCTACATTTTTATAAGGGTGGTCAATTGACCACCCTTCGTCGAAAAATTACATTACGTATAGAGGTAAAATATTAGATTTTAGAGGTATATGACATATATTGAATACCCTTTGCTGGAGAATTTTTTTCACTTTTTTCAAGTTTGAACACCCTTGGATAAATTTCTGGCTCCGCCACTGAATTCGCCTAGGCTGTCACATTTTCGTTCTTCATTTGCACTTCTATTTTTATTTCTATTTTTACTTTGAAGAATTTATTTTCGAATACAGATAACAAATCCTTCGATACACAAAGCTAATGACTTCTTTCTTGGAGGTATCATATATTACATTAGATAATATGATTTTGTTTTTCTTTTTGGTTCTTTATAGTTAGACAAGTCTTCAATCCTTGGAGATACTATTGAGTACATGAAGGAGCTTCAACAACAGGTAAAAGTTCTTGAAGAGACAAAGAAAAACATACCATCGGCCTGCGAAAATATTAAGGAGAATGTTAACTGCATCGACCAAGTAGTAGAATCAAAGATTAAGGCAAGGATTTTGGACAAAAGTGTACTTATTAACATTCACTGCAACAAACAAGATGGGGTGGTGGGAAGAATATTGTTCGAAATGGAGCAATTGCATCTTTCAGTCAATGACATAAGGATCATGCCATTTGGTCCTACTAATCTCGAAATATCAATTCTTGCTGAGGTAATTAACTTTAGTGATTCTCTTAATCTTCAATATATTAATTAGGCATAACAGACCGCAAAAATACTCCCTTATTATGTACTCACCCGTCCCATTTTATGTGATCTCTTAAGTTCATTGAACATGGATTTTAATATATATATAAAAAAAAAAGACTTATGGAATTTGTAGCATAAAATAAATTATTGATATTTGTGTGACTAAAAATTATTTTATTAAGGGTAAAATGAGATTTTTAGTGTAATTAATGTTTCTAAATTTAGATATGTATCATCCTTTCTTTGACGCGCTAAAATGAGTATAACATAAATTAGGATAGAAGGAGAGCCTATTACTGAACATGAGTTTTTGAGATCTCAACATTATCAACTTGATACCTTCTTAGACATCACAAACTCTATATATATGAACAAAAATCCATGATTTAATTTTAAGAGTAGTCATCCAACTTTTGATTTATTGCACAAACGTCATAAAAAATAATTTAACTATCGCTATATATATCACAAAATAAACAATATAGGAATGATAAACCTGGTGATGAAATACGAGCAAATTACCACTTCAACTTACCTTACATAGTATATATATTCAAGTGGAACTACATAAAGAAATAAAAACATCATAACCATAAAAGACTCATGATGCAACATGGTGCAAACATATTATAATAATAAGTTGGGTCGAAAAATATTGAGTTCTTCTTTCTTCTATTTTTTTTCTTCTGGTTTTTTAAGTGATATTATGTTGGCATTATATATATATATATATATATATATATATATATATATATATATATATATATATATATATATATATATATATACTCTTACATAATAATTTTATATATATGATAGCGTACTTTACTGTATTCTGAATAAATTTACCTCAAACACCATATAAATATTGCAACAGAGTATGCTTTTGTAGCGAAATATTTATGTACATATTTTTGTTTTCACTCCTTGCAGATGGAGAATGGATGTTGTATAACCGTGCAGGATATTGTAAATGCCCTTCAAATCAACATTCTGGACCAAGTTCAATCTGCAGTTGCATGAATAATCTCCTCCTGATGATATTCTCTACGTTTTCTTTTTCCTTCTTGTCCTCGACATCGTAAATAATTTTTTTTAAAAAAACATTTTTAATTACCTATATGTGTACAAATTGAAAGCTCTTTTGGATATTGTGTAATAATTACTCTTCCACATTTGTCTCGCCGGCAAAATTTCTTATACTTGTTGGAGACTTTTCTTTGGATCCCTTAGTTTGGGATTCCTAATTTTCAATTCGTTTTTTTTTCTTTTTATTCCCTTTGGGACTTAGAGCCCGTTTGGATTAGCTGATTATAAATAGTTGATAAGCTTGAAGTGCTGAAAAGTATTTTTAAGTGTTGAAGCTGATTTTTTAAATAAGTATTTACGTGTTTGGATAGACGTGTTGAAACTGATAATAAGCAGTTGATGTGTTTGCGTAGAAAAGTGCTGATAAGTTGTTCTTTTATTAAAATATTAAATAACTAAGATATCCTTAAAAACTTTACAAAAGATTATAAATTAAAAGGTTTCTTTGTAAAGAAAAAGATAAAAAACGAATATGAATTGAAAAGAAAATTAGAAAATTTATTTGGAAAAATATTTTGTGAATTAGAAAATATTATTAAGGATAAACTAGTAAAAGTTTTGGTCAAACTAAAAGTTCTTATAAGCTAAAAAGCTATAAGTTGGGGGCGACCAACTTATGACTTATGACTGATTTTAGCTTATAAACACCTAGCTTTGGGTATTTACTAAATGCGTAGATAAGCAAAAAGTGCTTATAAGTCAGTTTGACCAGTTTATAAGCTTAGCCAAACACCCTCTTAGTTTGTTTGGATCTTAAACCTATTTTATGTCCCTGATTGTTTGAATTCCTAAAGGAAATAATCATGGGTAACTACATATCCATTTCTAGGATTAGTGTGAGAACATCAGTCTGATCAGATATAAAATGTTAAATAACTTATATACACTCCCAAAAATTTTATACTATCATGTAATTTTATTTGTTATATATAGTAGGTAACCTGTCTTTTTTACGAGATAATAATTTCATTTCTTATGAAAGGTTATTAATTGTAAATATCTTTTGAGTAATCTGATTGTTGGGCTAAAAAGGTCCAGTGATACTCTTAATATGGTGTGATATTGTCCGCTTTGGTACAAGTTTGTACGATTTTTTTCAAAATGCCTCACACCATTAAGAGATCTCTACATCTTATATGTAGGCTCCCAATCCTTTTAGCTATCAATGTGGGACTTTGTTCGCATACCCAAGAATCTCCCCCTCAAACTAAGTTTCACGTGGTCCACTACCACAATCCATGGGTCTTTCCCCTAAACCAAGTTCCCCATGGCCCATTACCGTGATTCACGGGTCAAGTTTCGAGATTTATTGCAACTAGCTTCTTCTAATGCACGCATCTCCAAGCTCGTAGAGTAAGCAAATCAAGCCCTGCACCATCACTCTATCATCGCATATTCGTCCCGCTGAACCTACACTCTAATACCAGTTGTTGGTCTAAAACGGCCCAATGTTACTATTAACATAGTGTGATATTGTTCGCTTTGAGCCAAACCCGCACAGTTTTCCCCAAAAGGCCTCACACCATTAAGAGATTCCTACACCTTATACGTAGGCTCCCAATCTTTTCAGCTACTAATGTGGGACTTTGTTCGCATACCCAACAATCTTCCCCTCGAACTAAGTTTCATGTGGCTCGCTATCACGATTTATGGGTCAATTTTCGAGATGCACTATGTGGCACCCACATTGTTAGAGTATTATGACAATCAAAGCTCGCAACTAGCTTCTTCTTGTGTGCGCGCCACCCCGCACCATCACTTTGCTATCTCCATACTCGTCCCGCCAAAACTGGGCTCTGATACCAGTAGTTGGGCTAAAACGGTCCAATGATACTCTTAATATGGTGTGATATTTTTCGCTTTGGGCCAAGCCCCCACGGTTTTTCCCAAAAGGTCTCACACCAATAAGAGATCCCTACACATTATATATAAAGCTCTCAATCTTTTCAACTATCAATATGAGACTTTGTTCGCACGCCTAACACTATTAATATAAAAATTATTTTATATTGTTGGTCGGTATGTATAAATAAAACTCAATTAATGAAAACATGAATGGAACCAAGATCTTTATTTGGAGTAAAACTTCTCATTAGCTAACCGATCACAAAAAAACCTAGCATGTAGAGTTAGCGTGGTCAGTGGAATTGTTTTTTAATGTGTCATTAGACAATAAAAATGGACCTGCTTTTATTTAACAATAACATATAAAACAAAAGGACAGATTCCATGTCTTAGAGTTCAGGGGCGGAATCACGGGGTATTAATCGATCCCCTTCATCGCAAAATTATAATGTTTATACACAATTAAAATTATATTTTTATGTATATATAGTATATATTGAATCCTCTTAGCTTCTTTATATGTTTACTTCTTTACATTGATTCCTCTTAGTGAAAATTCTGGCTCCGCTACTATTAGGGTCGGTGAAAACTTCTCTTAGTAGTTCGTGAAAATGATTAGTTAATTAAGTAAACTTTAATTAATCTCTATACTTGTTTTGTTTACAAACTCCAATGCTTCTAGGGTTCATTTACAGCACGTGGGTGAAATTAAACGTGGTCAAACAAGACACGAAGGTGGTAAACAAAACATGGTCAATTATTCTTGTGCTTGGTGGGATTCATGAAATAGAATAAAAAAAGATGTGACGCAGAAGAATCTATCAAAACAAATTAAATAAGATACCAATTAAAGAGACACAGCATTAGTTATTCAAATCTTTAATTCGGAGTTTCCGACCAATTTTATTAAGTTAATACATTAATATTTACAAACTTTAGATGAAAAAATGGAATGGAGAATAAAGAGAGAGGAAAACAAGGAGAAAAAGAAACGATGCGCTTATGCAACTGAATTACATGGCGTGAAATGGAGGACGGGAGACAGTTTACCCGTAAAATTATACAGTTAAATTTGTAACGTAGTTTATATACATGTGAATTAAGTTGATCCAAAAATAAAATAACTAAGAACATAAATAAATTGACCAAAATAACTTGAAGAAAATACAAGTCTAACTGTGGGCTGAATTTCTCCGTAAGCACTAATAAAAGCCAAATGAAGAACAGAAAAAGAGAATATTCTTAATTGAATAAGAGCAAGTTTGCCTTTTTGTTTACCGAAATTTTCGTGTCTTACAGTGAATACAAAATCTCTTATTTATAGTTCAATGCGGAGAGACAATATCCCAAATCAAACTCTTCTTTAATATGAATAAAACTCCCTTGATGGCTGCATAACAGTTGAGTATTAATGCAATTTTTTTTTTTTTTACGGTTTCTTTGAATGATGTCTTTTCCAATCGAATTCTTCTCTTCGGACCTTCTCAATTTGCAATCCCACCTTTTGTTGTCCCATTTTTCATTTTTTCCAGTTTGTGTTTTTCTTTTCGGACAGTTATTCGCAAGTTTCCAAAACACTATAGGCTTATAAGAATTTGTGTTCTGTTGTTAACTAATTTCAAGAGATATTCAGGTCAAGGTACAAAAAGAGGATGATAACAGATGATGTGCCATTTGAAAACACAGACCAAGTGATAAACTAAATAGGTCCATGTTGGCCTGCAACATTTAATAATTTGAAAGAGTTATATCCGCATATAAAGGAGTGACGAAGATATAAATAAATAAATAAAACTGTCTAAGAATTAACTTTTTATTAAGGGGAATCATAGAAATTTGTTTAAAATCTATTACTTCTATCTTTTTCCAACTTAGAGGTTAGAGTTAGGCTGGATAACAAATAAATTTGTATAAGTCGCATTTGGTGAATGAGATTTATAAATCGATACTAGTTTAAAAATCTCGTATTCAGAATGCGATCTATAAACCGTATATCGAGAATTCGATTTACAAGTCTCATATCTAGAATGCCATTTATAAGTTGGTTAAGGTGGGCAATTTTATTTATCCCATTAGAACTCTGGAAGGCGACAAAGAGATGTTATATTTCACTAATATAAGAGACCCTAGTCTTTTTTAGTCAAACAATTGCACTTTCATTGTGAGAACTCTTTTTTAACTAAAGATAAGCTTTCCAAATAAAACTCCACATTATTATATAGAATCTCTCTTGTAAGAAACTTGTAATAATAGAGGAGTACAAGATATCCATATAATAAATCATTTAAAAAATTTATTTTGAATCTTATGAAGTTCAACATCTTGAAGATTACAATGCGTGACAATAAATATTGATGGAAGTGAACAAAAAATATGGATAAACATTTGAAATTACATACTGAATTATTTCAATATGGCATGAAATTGTGATACCTTGGTATGTATAACCGTACGATAAAAGTTTTGTAGCACGTTATGAGGACCGAGGGTAAGGGACGATTGAGCAACAGAGCAACGCAAACGACAACCGTATTATCTGATATAATGTAACGATCCCCACGTTGGAATCGTCATGAGAAAGGAAAACAAGAAATAGAAAAGAAAGAAGAAAATGCAGAGAAAACAAATGACTCAATTTTTATTTAGCATACCTCTACAGTGCTCTATTACAAGATATATAAAGCAAACCTAACAGGGTTACTAACGAAAATGGATTATAAGTGAGGCTAAAATGCAACAAAACTAAAGAGGGCCAAACTACAAATAACAAAACTTAGCCTATATCTCCATCTGTTACATTCCAACCCCCTTAAAACAATCTTGTCCTCAAGATTGGAATGAACACTGCCGAACAACTCAGAAGATGAAAAGTACTGCAACAATATTTTCAAGCTTCTTATTTGCTGAGCAAAGGTACCCTAACAAAAAGAAACATACTGATCCAAAACTTTAAAATGTTGCATCACCCTTTCATGTACGTGTAAACTATGGCATGCATTTGAATAAGTTGTGATGGCATTAGGTTAATCTCCTCAAGGATTGTCTCAGTTTCCTCTTTGCTTATTTTTGATACTATTTCAGATTTTCATCCCTTAATCCAGTAGCTCATTATTACCAAAAAATTAAGGTCAACTTTGAACAAGTATGATCTCTTGACTCTAAGTATCTGTCATGGCCTTCCAACTCTCACAGAAAGATTACCGCCAGCATTTGAAATTATAATTTGAGACCTGGCTGGAAGGATCCTCAATTCTTATGGCAGCAGCTAAAAAGTTATCACCATGGCTTCTTCCTCTCCTGAACTTCAATACTTTCTTG